AGAGGGACTCCAGGTGTCTGTGCCCAGGCTGGACGGAGAGGGACTCCAGGTGTCTGTGCCCAGAGTGGATGGAAATGGGCTTCAGGTGTCATGTGCCTAGAGTGGAAGGAAATGTGCTTTAGGTGTCCTGTTCCCATAGTGGACAGGGAGGGACTCCAGGTGCCTGCACCCAGGGTGGACGGAGAGGGACTCCAGTTGTCTATGCCCATGATGGACAGAGAGAGTCTCCAGGTGTCTGTGCCCAGGCTGGATGGAGAGGGACTCCTGGTGTCTGTGCCCAGGCTTGACGGAGAGGGACTCCAGGTGTCTGTGCCCAGGGTAGACGGAGAGGGACTTTAGGTGTCTGTGCCCAGGCTGGACGGAGAGGGACTCCAGGTGTCCTGTGCCCACAGACCCAGCCCTGCCCCATGGAGGGGCCCAATCCCAGGACTCCAGCCTACGTTGCCATCAGGGAAGATCCTAGCAGGATAGTCAGATCTTTTTTATCTTTTAATGATGTTTGACAGGTTGAAACTAGGTTGGTAAAAATTTTGTATCCTCCATTAATAAGGATTCACATAATATTTTCTAGTTCAGATATTTTTTGGGGAGATGCAAGACAAATGATAATTCTGGGTTAAGAATTATTCATTACCAAATGAGAGAGAGAAGCACTTCATAAAATTGGACAAGATCACAGGGACAGCAATTCCATGACTTGGGGCAGTTCTCAGATGAGGAGCGTAACTCTGGTAAGGGTTTCCAGAAGCTTCCGGCACTGGTGACCCTCCTGGGGGAGAGAAGGAGGAGTCTTCATCAGCTCCCGGCTCTGCTCACAGCATTCCCTCTCTCTTCCTTTTCTAGATCCAAGTGGTGAAGCCAGCAGGAAACGCGGCTCGCAGGGGAGGTGCTGTGTGAAGAAGCCAAGGAAATTTCCACCAAATACTTTCACAGTTTAAAGACAGCAGCCAAAAACAACTGTTCCGAAAGCTGCCAAGGGTATGGCTCATAATCCGAGCACATGCACAGTGCGGGCTGCCCCATTAGCTTGATCTCAGAGAACCCATCCCCGCTTTGTCCCAGCACACCGAGTCAGCAGCCCGGACAGCACGGCCTTGCTGCGCGTGGATGTCCCTTTCCTGCCTGCTTCCACGTCAGGTCCTGTAGGTTGGGACTGAGGCCTGCCAGATGCCCTCAGGGTGGCCGTGCAGCTGGGTCCAGTCGGATCTCTGCTCCAGGGACACGTACTCGGCGTGATTTTTGGTGGACGGAGCGCCACAGTGCTCTGGATGCTCCAGCTGTGGCCCCTGCACCCACTGGCCGGCTCAGAGGGGTTCCCATAGAGAGAACTGGTAGAGGAGCCTCATTTCAAAAAGGTATGCAGTTCCCGGTGGCTTGAGTTTTACGAAGTCCTACAGCAAGTGTCTTTATTTTTTTTTTATTTTTTTATTTTTTGAGACAGGAGCCTCAAGCTGTCCCCCTGGGTAGAGTGCTCGTGGCATCACAGCTCACAGCAACCTCCAACTCCTGGGCTCAAGCAAGTCTCCTGT